TTTTTTTTTTTTTTTTTAATTACGTAAGCTCGGTGCGATCTCTCCTCTCAGAACCAGCTGCTTATCTTATCCATTACATTAAGGATGGAAATGCACATCACTTCACATTTTCTTCTGCATATTTTCTGGAAATTCTGTTCAGATTTGTGCTAAATTTAAAAGAAACTTGACTAATCCCCATGTGCAGGTTCTGAACGATCACAATGACTGGTACAGTTTTTAACATGTTGTCTGATGTGTCTCTTACTCACTAAGTCACAGCAGGAATTTAAGGCACTGAGATCACCTGATATGACATAGTGACCACCTCTAAACACATAAATAACTTGTGGTCTGATCCTGGCATTGTGCCTTCGTGGGACACTTCCTTGATCCACTTGTGCCACTGTGGTCGGCTCAAGTGCTGCTCTTTTTGTTGTTTGTGTGGGAAAGGTGGAAGGAGGCGAAACTTTAAAGACTGGAGGGAGAAATAAGACCTTTGTCAGGCAGTTGATGCTTTTATATTTATGTTAAAATGACTTATTAAGTAAAGGCTGACAATTCTCTGTCAAACTAACTTCCAGTATTAAAAAATAAAAAACAGAATGAGAAACAAAAAACTGCTCTTAAAGCAAAACTAATGAATTAATTAATAAATTTTTGACGATAGTTTGGATTTGCAGGCTGATAATGGACACTGATAATAATGATTAATATGTTTATATCTGAATAAAAACAAGCTTGATTATAACCCTACAGGCTGTAAAGGACACAATACTCTACTTTTCTTAAAAGGCACAACACTTTGTTGTCTTGTTCATTGAATAAAATAAATAGGATGCTGACTTGCAGTAAATGAGAATAAATGCAGCTTTCAGGGGGTAAAATTAATTATTGATAGTGTCAGATCTCGACCACAGAGAACATGAATAATGAATAACATCAGCGATGAAAGCTGCCTCACCTCAACTAATACTGGCCGACAAGAAAGTGTGAGAAAGTATAAGAGAGAGGAAGCTTCTGAGCTGTGATTGACTTCCTACTGACTTGATTTGACATTTCTAAAACTTTTAAAATCTTGCATCGTATTAAAATAATAACAGACAGATAAAACGAGTAATTAACACAAAAAATTGATTGTTGTGGTGCATAAAAATAAAGCAAACTACAATATATGACCCTGGTGTCTGATCTACCGTCTAGCCGTAACTCCATACCTAGTCCTCAATGTGCACTGGGCACGACTCCTCATCTGTCCATCCGAAAGAAGGCGAGAGGAGGAAGAGAGACAAAGGAGGAGAAGAAGAGAAAGAGGAAGGAGAAGAGGGAAAATCCAGGAAAAGACAGCAGAAGATGTGAAGGATGACGGAGGGGGAAAAAAGAGAAACAGAGAGATAACAGAACACTTTTACGACACAGAAAGAGAAAACATGTCACACCATCCACCATAAAAGACCAACGGGGTGATTCGAGGGAATGAAGGTAAGTCAGGGTTTTAAGAGGGGAAGAGGCCGAGAGCTACGAGAATGATGCAGAGCTAAAGGTTGTGAAGCACCCAAACTTACTAATTAAACTTAAAAAAATATAGTAAATCAAGAACAACGCCTTTAGCTCTCATCGCAGTAACGTGTTCAGAAGCAGGGAGGAGGATTAGGAGAGGACGGGAGGGAGGATGGAGGGGTGTGAGGATGAGTTTCAGATGTTTGGCAAAAGCGGCTCGGAGCTGGCAGACACTGAACATGAACTTCAACTCTGGGATGGACCAGACTCTTTCTCTCTCTCTCTCACACACACACACACACACGAACAGTAAATACAAGCATGCAGAAAGCCCTCGTCAGACACACTGTAAAATGCACACACACACACACACAGAAACACACACCAGGGCTTCAGCTAAATAAGGGAGAGAGAGGGAGAGAGAGTGCACAGCTAACCGGTACTGGAAAAGCAATGAAGCACCACAACACCAAAAGGGTAGGGATGAAGAGAAGAAGACGAGGGCTCCAGATCTTCATGCTGGGCAAAGATGCTACAAAACCTCCTCTCCGGTCACTAACTGCTAAATCTGCCAAAGTAAAATATCTTGTTTCTCTTTAATTTGCATTAGCATGTTAGCGTAGCAATGTGTCAGACATCCTTAACCCCCCTGGCTGATAACTCATGCACTCTTTCTCTGTTACCCACCCCCCCTCCTCTTCCTCACTTCCCTCTCCTCGACCCTCCCTCTCCCCCTCACTCTCATGCCCAGTCGTCAGCTCTCATCGGTCCATGTTCGAGAGGTTGCCACTCACCGGCGAATCGGCTGTCGGGAGCCTGCTCATTATCCAACCCCAAAGAGGGCGTGTCACAGAGGGCGACGCCCTGATTGTTATTGGCCAACTCTGGACACCTGCTCCGCCCACCTGCAAGCGAGGGCAAAGGTCAAACAAGAGCAGCCAGGCACAGCAGGGGGGGAGTGGGACAGGCGGGGTGAGGGAGGGACAGGGGGAGGGTGTCAGAGGTGGAGGGGTGAGGTTGGCCATGCTGGAACGGCATTAATAAAATAATAAATTATAAAAATCTGAATTTTACCACCACGTGTCCGATTTAAACGAGAGATTTAAGCGAAAGAAATATGCGGAGCTCATTCGCTGTGATCCTCGGTGTCTGCAGCAGACTTTCTGGAAAGTGATCGTGACTCATTTGTAAAGATAAAGAGTGCTGATATCTTCTGTTTGGCTTGTAGCTTCATAAATAAACATTTTTCACAGCAGACATTTTGACATGAAATAGTTGGGTAAACACAGGTGTTTAATTATACTAATTAAGGCTCTGTTCCATTTAGTGCAGCCTTTCCAGTGAGCCAACAAGCACAATAACAGCCTTAATCGGTGTTTATCCTACTATTTCATGTCAAATGGCCGCTGTGAAAAAGGTATATTCTGAGAAATATAGATTATAATTGAGCAAATGACCAGGAGGAGCATGTAAAGTTGAAAGACTCAAACTCATGATCAAATAAGTGTGCTGGGGTTGATGATTGTACACGACATGTACAAGATGGACAGATTGTTTACAGGGTAAAAAATGACATTAACTAACCCGTTTAACTCCCTAGCTTACTATCGATATAGCAGGAGAGAGATTTCTGTCTTTTCTGCCTAAGAACTCTTTTTCAAATACAGCTAGAGTCGCACTTACGACAATGTACTCTACAAATAGTTTGTATAGCACATGTCTAGAATAAAAAGTGTACTTATCATCATATAGGGTTGGGGTAATATATATATATATATATATATATACACATATATATACACACACCTTGTCCCATTGTGGGGCTAATTGCAAATCAGTGAGCATGACTGCTTTATAGCTAAATTAGTTTTTTATAAGATCTTTACATCAGTGTGATTAATTCACCTGTGAGGTAAACATTCCCATCTTATCCACAAAGAAATAGTTTTTCCAGAAATCGCATTGAATCATGACAAACTGATACTTAATATTATAATAACATATATAATGAGGTTTTTATCCGTAAGTATTTCTAAAAACAGATATTTTAACATCTGCAGCACACATTGATTCTCTGCACTTAAATGTAACTTAAATATAACTTTGGTTGCCCACCATGTTTCACCTTACAGAAACAAAACTAGTCACACTTAAAAAGACCAGTGTGTAGGATTTAATGCCATCTACTGGTTGCAGATGGCAGCTAACTGAACACCGCTCGCGTCTGTATTTGACAACCTGGGAATGAGAACGAGCTGCGAAGGGTGTTGATGAAACTACGGTGGCTGTGAAGTCCTTACTTACAGCCAGTGTTTGGTTTGTGAGGTTGTGGGCTACAGTAGAAACATGGCGGTAAAAACGGCCAATTCTTACTTTCAGGTGATTATAC